TTCTTGTGTTTTACATCCTACAGATTATAAATCAATTGGATCTGATGGTTAAAAAAGTAAAATTGCAATATGCATCTCATTAGGTATTTGTATAAATATATAAATGTATACTACGTTTCTGCGATCGAGTGTATATACATATATATATATATTATATAATACAATATATATACTGTGTAATGCATGCATAGGTTCTACATTAACATGGTCGTTGACTAAGAAAAGTTCATTGGTTTCAGTTCTTGTGGTAGTATCCTTGTCGAGGCCTACAGTGTCGACATGGTCCAGCCTTATGGAAGTACCACAAAGGGACTTCATCTTCTCTCCACCCCCTCTCCCTAGCTGCACAAGCTAGACACATCCTTTTTCCAGTTCCATATTTCCCTAGAAGATGGAGACATATTCTGTTGCACTGTCGGCAACGATGGTGGAGTATGGCTCTCCCACCAGTAATATGGCGTCTGATTTGAGGATCAAGGTATTGGTAGCACCACTCCACATCTTGGATATCACCATCGGAATCCTCTTTGCCTTCATAGACAAGATGATGGTGCTCAATACGGAGAAGGTCTCGGATTTCCTTTTTCAAGGCAGGGTAGCCTCGGCTGTTTCTTGGCGAAGAGTTGTAAACCTCTGTTTCGTACGGTTCGTTGTACACTCTATCTCTTTCATAACGGTTTTCGCGAGGACTTCGGGATTTATCTCTATAGGCAAATGGGCTGTATCTCCTTAAAATATGATTTTCTCGGGGGCTTCTTTCACCAGAGAAGTCGCAACGGCCGTTCGATGTAAACTTGTTAGTTGAGTCTCTCTCTCGTGAATGGCTTCGCCTGTACTTCCTACTCCTTTCACGTGACAAACGTCTTCTCTTATTCGTTCTTGAACGGCTGTAGCTTTCAGTTTTCTCTCTTTTGTGCCGATGCTGCTTGCGACTTCTTTCTTCGTCGCCTTCACGCCGACTTCTGTGTCTCCGTGAATGAGATCTCGAGCGGGAGCTTTCTTTGTTTGGACTGCCGTATCTTCGTCTTTTATTAATAACTTCTCCTTCAAAATCGTCGTTATTGCTCAACCGTCGTTTACTAGTTGACATAATATCAGTCATGGTCGTCTCAGCTTACTCTGGAATTACTTACACGACCGAACTAATGACAATTTTTTTTGGAAACCGATTTTAAACACGTTTTATCAAGGGGTTTTTATCTGGTTTATTCGGGGATATTTTGAACTGTTCGACGGTGATTCCCCGATAACATTGTTCATTCCAAGAATTCCAAGTAATTTTAACTTTCTAACATCCGGTACTTAGTCTCTTACTCGGCCAAGGATACTAAGGAATCCCGGTTCCAAAGACGTCAAACTAGCCTGTGAACATGTCTATCCCTGGATAATCATGTTAACAGCCTAATGTCAAACTTAAATTTTTTCCATCGAGGATTAAAAGTTCATTTAGAGGGGGTGGCTGTAAAGCAACTATATAATACAGCTTTTTTGGCAAAATGAGCACGATTTCTTTGATTCGGTATGAGACAGCGATAGCATCGTAGCCAGTGTGCAATGCAATATTTTTCGCTTTATGGCATGTTGTCAACACTATTCTTTATTTGCAATCAATCCCAAGAGAGCATAATAACAAAAGGGATGTCCGCCATATTGGAAGATATAACAAAAGAATTCATTGAAAAATCTTTTGTCAAATCCTTCCAACGCGGCGGCTATGACGTCTATTGCAAAAGAAGAATAATCGATGCGCTTTTGTCGGAGTAGAAACGGAGAAAGTTTAAAAATTTGTGTATGGCAAGCTGGGTTGAAAGACACGTCATATGAAAGAGGAAAAAGCAAAAATTTGTACAGATTCTACTTTTTAAATACTCAATCATGATTAATTTGTATGAAAATTTGTCTAGGTGACATTTGTTGGTAAAGTCGCACAATAAACAAAATACTTATGAAAACATACTCAAAGCTAAAAGGGACTCCAAAATGTAAACACGTTGCTCGACTGAGCTTCTAGAGGACTGAATCAAACACACAGCACCACGGCCTGTTAAACTTTGGCCGGACACTACACAGAACCTGACTAGGTCCTTAGAAGGACATGAAACAACCAGAATAATTACCTCGACAACTGCAAATGCCATGGCGTGTGTCTGTAGGCTTCGATAACATTACGGTAAAACCAAAGAAAAAATCCGTGTAGCACTGACACGTAATTTAGCATAAGGCCGAAAATTGCGATTTTTTCGCTTCAATAGGCAACTACCCACCTGGTGTACGCAAAGTGCTTCTCGCCTTGGTATCATGACTAAACATCATATTAAAACTCCACCCTTACTCGTTTTATGGCTGTTTTTTTATTGGTAAAAAATACTTAAAATTTTGATGTTTTTAATATATATTACCCAACATCTTAATATATTTATGGTTAGAATAAATTGTCAAACTTTCAATACATTTAGATATTTCCATGCTGACACTTTCGTACACACGTTGAATACTGCATGCATACTCTAAATGGTGCATTGTAAGAACGAAATGCATTTTGGGTCATGTAATATTGACTTAAGTGAAATAAATAATAATAGTTATATATTTTGTTTTTAGTGTATTCCATCCAAAAACAATATATTACCTACATATACCTGAGCAACTCGACGTATGTCTCATTACCTTTCGTGGCTGCATTATATATTTTGTCAGGAAATCTCTCCCGAAATGTTTATATTTTTYAATACATAAATTTAATTATTCTCTACTTTCACATCCCCATAATATTTTGCGTCTTTGGGGGGTAACCAGATGGTAAATACCCATTTATTTTGCTAAAGGCTGATCAGACAATGTTGACAATACCTTGTTTGGTATCCAAAGATAAAATGAAGAAGTAAAAAACAGAAATAGATAGAAGCTTGAAGACGTTTAAAGTAAATTTTAAATATTTTTTCGTAAGTCAATACATTTTCTGTAAGACCAAAACTCTTGATAATATCTGTACACGCAAAAATAACTTGGAATAAACTGATAATCCGTATTGTACAGATAAAAGCAGGTATAGTATAAATTCAATTAAGAAACCTTTCAATTTGGGACAGTTATTTGATTGGTTACCCCCCAAAGTCGCAAGGCATTATGGGGGTGTGAAAGTAGAGAATATAAAATTGATAGCATCATGTCATAGCGTACAAACACTAATAGTGTGCAACACTTTGTTCTATTTAGTAGTAAATAGTGCTAACTAAACAATAGAAAACAATAGGATTAGCATAATTTTGCAGTATTTAGTGGTATTTATGTAACATTATGTTATGTTATTTATGTTAGTGTTTGTGCTCTATCAATGCATTCTCTGAATCTCTTCCTTTTGATAGTTAGAGATATTATTTATTAATCGATCTTAACCTTCGCTTTTATAAATAGGAGAGCAATTTTTTATGTTTCATTCTTTTCATACTCAAGCGGTGAGCGACAAAAACTATTTTCTTGAAGAAAGGCTGTCGTACAAGGCTAAAATCTTATTATTCAGAAAGTTTAGGCTTGTTTGGAAGTGAAAGTGATGAAAGTGACCGATGAAAGTTGAATCAAAGTGTTAACCCAAAACAAACATTTTATTCGAAAATGAGGTTTAGGCCTTCATTTGGTTATTTCCCATTTATTTTCTATAAAAAAGCCTGGCAAAGCAACATTCTAACACCAATGCAACAATACATTTTTGTACAATTTAAAATACCGAAAAAGGTTTTGAATGTTAACCCAAAACGTAAATTGGGATCAAAACTCATACAAAAGTCTAGTTTTTGGCGCTTTTTGTCATTATATTGCTCACTATTGAAAAAAATTCCTCTTAATTGGAATGAGTACCTATCGGAAGCTAGAGATCCTAATGAACATAAATCAGCAGGAGCATCACCATTGTTTTTTTTCATTTTTTCAAAACCAACTCAAAAAGGCCTGGTCCGAAAATGCCAGAAAACCTTATTCATATGTAAAAACTTTCAACATGGTGATTAAAAGAATTCAATGTTAGAAAATCCCAAAACTAGTATATAAATATTTCGGAAAGCGTTGTCAGTCCGAGATCTGAAATGGGCGAAAAATACAAACACTTTTAATAAGATAACAGATCAGTCCCAACTCATTCAAAAGACGCTGATCGGCTGTGAATATACTATGATTTACAGCTAGTTGCTCGGCCTTAGATTTCAGATTTCAGATCTCCGGCCAACGTTTTTTGTAATAGGTGTATACATTTAACTGTCTGTTCAAATCCTTGATGTCATGCGATTTTTGAAAATTCATTCTATTTCATCGTATGTTGTTTTCCTATTTTCAAAGAAAGTCTCTATTGTTTCCAGTGATTCTCCTTTTGTTTCTGGGAGAAATATCAACACAAAAATGAATGACAGGAAACAACAACCAGCATAAAACCAATAAACTCCAGGAACAGTGAAGGCATCCTTCATGTGCACAAACAACCATGTTAAAAGAAATGCACTACTAAATGCTGCCATAGTTGCAATGCTACCTGCAATACCACGTGCACGGAGAGGAAAGATCTCTGACATGATTATCCAAGGCACTGGTCCCCAAGAAAGACTAAAAGTTATGTAGAAGATTAACAGACATGTTATTGCCAGCCATGATACTTGATGGGCAGGAACAGAGTGACTGAATCCAGAGTAATGAATTGTGGAATTTGTGGACAAAATTTCATTTGTTGATATTTGGAAGAAAATCCCAAGACCAATATGACAAGCACACATTCCTAAGGCCATTGATAATAACAAAGTTCTTCTTCCAATTCTGTCCATTATTCCACAGGCTACGATATTTGCAACAAACTGTGTGACTGCCACACTTATGGAAACCATCTTGCTATCTTTAAATCCAGCAGTAGCAAAGATCTCAGCACAGTTCATAACTACAACTATTGCACCACAGGTTTGTTGGAATACCATTAAGCACACACCAATAAATAATGGCTTTGTAATGGATGGTCTGCAGAATTCACTGCATGATATTTCATTATGCATATCTAGATATTAAAAAAAACAAAAGAAAAGTTTGATCAAAAGGATAGAAGGGTACTGTGTATAGTTCTCATATCAAATATAGTGTACAGTTAAGTAAATACTTAGGGAAATCAGTGCCAAGTGATTCATGATATTTAATCAAAGTATATATTAAAATTATTTTATTAGTTATTTGTCTTGGTGCAAAGTTTACTGATCTCAGACCATCTATCATTCCCTATAGAATAAGATTCCTTGTTTCAGTTGTATCCATATTCATGCACATTTTTTAAGCAAAGAAATGATACTTTTGGGAATGACAAGCAGTCATGGTAATGGACATATAGAATGTTGTATTAGTATGTCTGAGCATTTCTTTCCACAATGAAAAACGCAATGAACTCATTCTGAAATGACTGATCATACCGGTAAGAAACTTAATTGGCACTTGGAATAAACTTGTACCAGAATTAAACTCATTCCAGCATCATGTCAACAGCTTTACTAACCTATAGTTCTTTCTATTTCAAAGCACTCCTCTTCAATGTCAGCTTCAGGTCCTCGTAGCCACAGCAGAGTTTTTAAAGCAGCTGCTCTTTTGTTATGAGCCAGGTACCACCTCGGAGTTTCAACCATGAAAATCATCAATAGCACTAGTATGGCAGGCATTATAGCTCCACCAAGGGCTATATGACGCCAACCCATAAATACTCCAACTACATAGGACAGGAGGATTCCTATTGTGACTGCTAGTTGGTGGATTGTACCTAATGTCCCTCTTAAATGAGATGAGGATATTTCTGCAACATATACCTGGAAAAGATATAGAGACAACAAATAAAGCAATCATTGAGTTGTATTATTTATCCATTTCATGACCTAGATAAGCCCAAAGGTTGTTTAAGGGTATGAAAACATTGTCATTGTGTGTTACAGTAACACATACAGTGTAATTGCGTCTGACAATATGATTTATGCTGCTAAATGATTATGAAATGTGTCACCATGGTATAGAAGTGTGTGCCTACATGAAATTAAGCTCTGATTAAAAAAATTCAAGTAAAAGTTTAATTTGAATCACAATTTTTTGAACCCCAACATTAATCTAAGAAAAAAGAAACAATAAAAAACTTCCCAGAAAAATTAAAATCGGCACTGGTAATTAATATTTTGACTTTATTTTTAACAGGAATTCTAAATTACACATCTTTTTACGAATATATTAAGTGAAAAGAATCAAAAAATGTTGATGAATATTGGACTGCACCATAGTTAAAGGAGCGAATGGTTGGGAAACCTAATGTTCTATGTTTTTCGTTCGACTTTATTCATCGTTATATGACGTTGACCCTGCACAGAGAAGGAAACCTTGCTCCGTTTGTTGATAGTATTTGGGAATATAGACGTTTTTAACCCTAAAAAGCATTCTAAAATACTGATTACTTGTTAGTTACTTTATGGACTTCCTAAATATGTCGTGGAGAGGCTGCAACGCATTCAGAACTCTGCTGCTCGTGTTGTCACCTTCACCAGGAAATTTGACCACATCACTCCTGTGTTGGTTGACCTGCACTGGTTGCCAGTATACTACAGAGTAATTTTCAAGATGCTGTTGCTGACCTACAAGGCCTTACATGGCCTTGCCCCAACATATCTGTCTGATCTTCTGTGCTATCGTTCTTCTTCTTATGCTCTCCGATCTATCTCCAACAAACTTCTGGTTGAACCTAAAGCTAGGCGTACTACGTATGGTTTCAGGTCATTTTCCTTTGCTGCTCCCAGATTATGGAATAGGCTCCCTTTTGAGATTCGCTCTTGTACTACTGTTGCTTCCTTTAAAAGTAAGCTTAAAACTTATTTATTTACTTTATTCCTTAATAATAGGAAATATATTTAGATCTCTTTTGTTTGATTCATTTCCTGTTTTTATGCATATTGCCTTTAGGCTTTTAAGATAAGTTTTTCCTTTTATAATTAGATTTACTTATTAATATTTTAAATACGTAGCATTGTAAATATTGTAAATACATATATATAATTTATGCATATATTCCTGTTGTAAAGCGCCTTGGACTTGCTCATGGATATGAGCGCTATATAAATAAACTTTATTATTATTATTATTATTATATGATTAATATAAATTGTTTATTGAAAGGAAATTGCCTTTTTTCATGCTTTCTTATTCAGGGTTCCCAGCCATTTTAAAAATAAAAATTCCCTGACTTTTCTGTGACTTTTCCCTGACTAAATAACAGTTTTCACTGACCTTGTTGGGCCACAGGTAGCCCAAGCTTGGTTTCTGTGGTGTCCTTTTGGTGATTTTACCCGATCATTGAGAAATAGCCCTTCTTTCGCTCTGCGTGGTTATTTTTTGAATTTAGCCCGTTTTAAGATTTTTTTCCTCCATGCAGTTCAAAAGAAGTGCTATTTCTCAATGATCGGGTAAAATTTCGAGGCTTTATTTCACGTTTTAATGATTTTATTGAAATTTTTGATGAATCTCCATACATTTCCTTATAGCAGGACACCACAGAAACCAAGCTTGGGCTACCTGTGGTTGGGCCGCATGGACAAGCATGTGCCACCTACCTAACTTTTACCTAGGCCCCGCTCTTATCATATTACACAGGATACCCAACGTAATTAAATTGTCCGGCATAATGTGATATGATTTCGTTATTTGAAAAGATTTCAAATATCAGTCTATTCGAAAATTGCAAACAGTATGAGTATCACACGGATACTCATGGTTAACTTTAAACAAAATTCCCTGACTTTAGGTGAAAATTGCAATTTCCCTGAATAAATAAAAAATTCCCTGACTTTTCCCAGACTTTTCCCTGACTGTGTTTTTCCCTGACCTTTCCCTGACCCCTGGGAACCCTGTTATTTATCATCCAGTAACTTAACTGTATCTGTCCGGAAATATTTATTTGCATGGTTTATGGTCATAGAATGAAAGTTTTCACTTTCAAAATGTTCGTACATGAAAATAATAAGGAAATGAATATTTTCAGCCATACTTGCTTTGTTGCATTAATTGTGCAGGGTCAGTATCACATGATGGTACGGTTCAACATCAAACCCAAAACAATAGCTTTGTTCTATGGAGTTTCCAAACCATTCTGCTCCATTAACTATGTCTGCACTAAATCTGATTATAATAAACATTCTCCATAGAGAAAGTATAAGCAGAGCAATTTTCCAATACTGCCTTCACTGAGTTGATTCCATTAAAATCAAAAGTTTTGAAACTCTTAAAGTTCAAAAAATCAAGAATGTATTACAGAATAAAACCTCAACAAAATAACAAAGTACTAAATGAAGTAGTATATCTCAGAAACGGGTCTACATGATTGTATTAATCATATAAATCATATATTAAAATCAATATTGAATCATAAATAAATCAAATAAATGATAATAATAAATCATTAATAACATGCAATTAGTATATTACCAGCATATTATACTTACAGGGAAAGCAACACCTATCAAGCCACATCCAACTCCAGTAAAAAGCCTTCCTGTGTAAAGCATGGCTTGATTTTTGGCATATACAATCAGCAACCATCCTAGCTCATGTGGAATTGTGCTAAGCATTATGGTTGTTTTTCTCCCAAAGTAGTCTACAACAAATCCACCAAATAGGCAACCTAGCATGGCACCAAGGGTGACCAGTGACTGTACAGCAAATAAAATATTTCAAAATATCACTATGATAAATGAGCAAACATTGCTAAATTAGCTTTATTGCACAATACACTGTACAAGTATTTTAAAAACACTAAAAAGTGTACAACCATAATTTTTAATTGATGTTGATACTGACAAAAAGTATTAATTATAGTAACTAATATTCACTATCACTCAACAAGAACATTCATTACACAAAGACAAACACACAAGAGACCTTTAATTTGTGTATTCTTTACTCTTTCATTGGCATATAGACAGGGACCAACAATCAAATTGTAAAATGAATTAAGGTGGCTGACTACTTTGGTAAATAAGAAACAGAAAAAAAAGGAAACTTTTTTTGAAAAATGCAAAGAAAAATGTTTGTTTTTGAGATAATCAAAATAGAATGACAATATGCGTTTGTACAATTTTTTAAGAAAATAGCAAAAATCAAGCTCTGTACAGACAAGACTCTCCTGGATCGTGCACTGTGTTGCCCAATGTGCTAGTAAGCTGGAGCTTATTTAACACCTTATCTTTGTTATTTACCGCTTTTTGGGAGGAGGGGCTACTTTGGAACATTTTAGGTGTCTTTTTCTTTCAGAACTTCTGAACACTAATACTTTTTCTGGCATTGTATTTCTTCACAAGTGTATGCCTTTTACATGTGAATGTGTGTTTTTTTCATAAAAATGTACAACTTTTGTATATCTTTTAACCAGAGTGGAATGACACTCGATTAGTAAAACTGTATACATATGCAGTTTTGTAAAAGGAGAAAACAGTGTTTTTATTTCATTAATAGGGTCCATCTAAAATTACACTGACAACAACTACTGAACTTGACCCAAAACTCGTGGCATCTGCAAAAATAATGATAAGTCTTTCATTTATGTCCAATGTTTATCAGCTTCATTACTGTGTAGTATTTCACAACAAATTCATGCCTTTTTAAATAAAAAGACTGAAAAATTTTGATCGAAATTAAAATTGTTTTAATAATAAAAACTTTTGTAGATGATGGAAAAACGTTTTTTTGTTCAGGTTCTTCAGTATGCAACTTATGGTAAAAATTTAGCACAAAACAAACAGAACGATTTTTTACATGGTTCACAGGTAGCCCAAGCTTGGTTTCTGTGGTGTCCTGCTATAAGGAAATGTATGGAGATTCATCAAAAATTTCAATAAAATCATTGAAACGTGAAATAAAGCCTCGAAATTTTACCCKATCATTGAGAAATAGCACTTCTTTTGAACTGCGGGGTTATTTTTTGAATTTAGCCTGTTTTAAGATTTTTTCCCCCACCAGTAAGATATAAGAGAAGGTTGGAAACTCGAGTCCCAAAAGCGAACCATCACTGGTCTTTGAAACCTCGTACGTCTTCTAATTTTCTTTCCACCTCCAAATTTTAGTCATGACCCTTCTCTCACATCCCTATAGAACCGAGAAAGTCGCATTAGAGATTAATCTTTGCTTCTTTAAGCCATGAAATTTGCCTGTATTCACATACTACCTCGCTTGTTCTGACCCGTACTTGGAGCTCACTGTACACCAGTTCAACGGATTTCTTTCGGCAATCGACCCGAGGTCATGCCGGAAGTCTTCGTATCGTAAATGCGAACTCGATTTGGATATCGTCTTTCTTCGAAATTATGGTGAGTGTATTTTTTAACGGCCTAAGATACAAAAGTATTTAGCTTATAATTTATAACTTTATAATCTTTCTTCGAAATTATGGTGAGTGTATTTTTTAACGGCCTAAGATACAAAAGTATTTCTTCTGGCGTGACCTTTGGACGGTTGCCGAAAGAAATCTGTTGACCTGGTGTACAATGAGCTCCAAGTATGTACGGGTCAGAACAAGCGAGATAGTATGTGAATACAGGCAAATTTCATGGCTTAAAGACGCAAAGATTAATCTCTAATGCGACTTTCTCGGTTCTATAGGGATGTGAGAGAAGGGTCATGACTAAAATTTGGCGCTGGAAAGAAAATTCAAAGATGTACGAGGTTTCAAAGACCCGTGATGGTTCACTTTTGGGACTCAAGTTTCCAACCTTCTCTTATTTCTTACTGGTGGGGGAAAAAATCTTAAAACAGGCTAAATTTAAAAAATAACCACGCAGAGCGAAAGAAGTGCTATTTCTCAATGATCGGGTAAAATTTTGAGGCTTGACATTTTTGATGAATCTCCATACATTTCCTTATARCAGGACACCACAGAAACCAATTGGGCTACCTGTGCATGCTTCTAATAAACAGAATCGTAAATTAAACTTTGAAAAATAATGGGATATTACATGTACCTGTTATTCCTGAAAACAACAAAAAAAGTATAGAGTTCCATACAAAATTTGAGGGTTTTGCCCTCTTGAAGTTCAAAACGTGTATGGTTCTTCAAGAAAATTGTGAAGATTATTCAGTGGTTTTTGAGTGCATGCACATTGTGGAATCAAATCGAACGTTCCAAAGTAGTCAGTCACTTTAATAATAAAAAAAAATGACAAGCCTATGTGGAGCCAATCAGAAATCGAACCTAGATAGAACAAGAAAGGTAATTTGACTCTGTTACTGTTTGTGTTAACAACTAGTAAATAGCCATTGTCATTTTCTTATTGGCATAAAAAGGTATGTTGAAAGGCTATTGATTTTTTGCAGATTTCTGATTGGTTCTACTACCCAAAGTTGGGATGTACATGCAGCGTATTGTATGTTTTCATTCTACATTTTGATTAGTTCTCGCTGTCTTGGTGGTCCCAGTTACAGTAGTTGAACTGTTAACCTTATTGGAAAAACAGTTTTTGAAATATTCTGAATTTGCAGTTAGGATCCATGAAATTTACAATTTTTAAACAAACATTTCCATGTAAACAAAAACCTTTATCAGTGTAACTGATAATGTTTTAAAAATATTTTGCTTTGAAAAATATGAAAATCTAATCAAGGTGAAATAAAGAAGNNNNGGGGGAGCGGTGACTTTAAAATATTAAATGTAAAATAATAAAGAAAATAGAAATGTTAAAAAAGGCTTAATGAGCTGTACAATAGCTGCTGGGATTAAGGAGGAAAAGTATATATAAATATTGAAGTATTTAAGCTTAACTTTTAATGGGCCTTTTCGTTTTGGTTGAAAGCATTGACCATTTTATAAATTCTCTAACTTAACTAGAATAAACTTACCGCAAACAAAGATCCCTGGCTTTCAGTGAGACGTACTTTATCGTTTGATTCCGTGGTAAGATCTGGTAGTGCAGGGGATGAGTAGCCCAAGCAGTAACCAAAGCACAAAGAGCCCACAGCAGCACATAAAGACGCCAACACGACATGGAATTCATGATTATTATTGTTTGACGATGAATTAGACACCTCCTCGGCGTTAACATTTAGAAACTTGGAACTACTTTGTAGAATAGGAATTTTTTCCCCGCCAGGAGTACATTTCACAAAGCATGATTGCTCCAGTTTGGCCATTCACGGATTCATTCAACAGTCTCCGTGAAAATAAAAATGATATTTTGCTATCAACGAACGTCAATTTGGAATTTTAAAGCCCTGTTCACTTTCTCTTTCTCCAAATTCAATCCAAAATATACGGTTTTTCGATGAATTACAAACCAATCCAGTCACTGCAAAGAAGCTTACTCACTTTTACACTTTGATCAGCTATCGTGAAGCTTTGCATTCAAACATAACAAAGTAAATGTCAAAGAGCACGAAAATCATTCAGGTACGTAAACATGGCGTCAAGTGATTCGACTCTCGTGACAAACATATGACGTCATACCTCATGACGTGATCATCCATTACATTAAAATAAAAATAAATTCAATAAGGACATGATTTAAGGACAAGACATTTTAATCTAACAGTTATGCGGTCAAAATGTCCTTCTCCTATACCTTTAACCTTTTAGAGTTGATAAATGTTTTTCAGTAAAAAATTATCAATGTTCCGTCGTTTTCTGCAAGGAACGCCTGTCATATTTATGTAAGATGCTCTCCACTTTAGTGCACGGAACCAACCCGTTGTACGCCCACAACAAACCCTCCTTTGATGACCTTGGGAAGAAGGTCAGTTTGTCGATCCCGGTACGGAAAAGAGGACACCGTAATTGAAAAATAATCATTACATAATAAAAACTGCCTGCCTGGGCCCAGTTAAATAGTGTTATATTCTTCCCCGGGCATTGTTATCCATGAGATGGTAATAAGGAATGGGGATAGCTCTGGCCTGGGACACGCCTAGGCCAAAGCGAGAAGTGCATTGAGGGTAATTCAAACCCGGCTTCCTTTGGGCGGGCGGGTGG